ATTTAAATTTAAAACGAGAAGGTATTTCGGGCGGTCGTGTGCAAAGCCCGAAGGGTGAATTCGTTGAAGCGCCACTAGCTTCCGCAGCAAAGCTAAAACGCTCAGCGGTGGTATGCTGCCAAAATACCTACTTAAGACCTAATAGATATATTATTTAATCTTATACAAAAAAAAACTATAAAGAAACACGTGGTTTGACGACCACAAGTTACCGTCTGCTAACCGTTTGATCTACTAAAATACTCGAAATACTTAATCTAATACAATGAAATGAATGAGTTAATAAAGGTTTACCAGAAAATATTTATAACAAGTGGCATTACTCGCCCCAAACACCAGCTCAGACTCTATAAAGTCGCCGACACCTCATGCTGTCGATGTCTGCGTGCGAGTTAACAATCTATCTCATCCAGACTGTTCCTGGCTATCCAATTCACCAATATCGTGATTCAAAATCTCCAGTCGGGAACCAGGAGGCAGCTGATGGCCCTACGAGCGGATTTCAAGTAGGCAGGTAAGATCTACAACAGACCGCAGAAAGATGGCAGACTCGGTGGTCCAGGTGACGGTTGAGCTGGGAAGAGTGGTAGATTGTACTTGATTTGCTGGGTCTCGTTTCTGGACCAATTCTTCGTCCCTTGCTTTGGATAACGGTGGTCCGCGAAAGTGGGGCAACTACCACGTTGCCAGACAAAACCATGATAAAGACTGCTGATGTTTGGGAGCGAGATACAAATATCTAAACATTAAAATATAAAAAATTCTTGAAACATTGTTAACCTAGCCTGACAAACTTGTTTACTAAATCCGAATTGCAAATGAAAATCGGTTGACACAATAGATTCTTACAATTATAACTTATAACTACCCACATTTGAGAACAACGGGTTGGTAGGCAGGTGGACCACTAGCTAAATTCATTTTGAACCGTTACACCTGATTCAAATAGAAACTTTTGTGTGTGTGCAAAATCAAAATTGCCCAATTTCTATATTGCAACACCTAAGAGACTGAAATTAGATGCTTATCGTGTTGCAACTAATGTAACTTATTTTTTATAGTTTTATTGGGCAAGAATAGCAAATAAGTATCCACTGAAAACTAGTTTCGTATTGTCAACTTACTGACACACGGCCACAGATCACAGAATCTGTGATACAGTGTTGCCAGATTCCTTCCCGTTCGATTTTGTTTCCTATTAAATTC